GGGTAGAAGAAACTTGTATAATCCAACTTCGTGAATAAGCTTTCTGTTTATATAGTAATCCTTAAATGTTTTTTTTTTCCTGTCCGAAACAAAAATAGTCGATAAAAATGAGAAATTTTTTATGAATAAACGAAAAACCTTTTTATGGGGAAAAATATCAACTTTCTTGATTTTTCCGGTTTGCACTTTATTTTAGTAATTGGACTATAAACGGTTTAATAATCTAGAAAGTGTAAGGTGTAACAAGCTCATACGCTATACTCATACGCTATACGCTATACTTGGGAAGGGTGATTTATGCTTTAAACGTAGTATTATCGATGGTTGACCCCAAACACCGAAAAAATTATGGATCAAAGATCTGGAACTTCAACGCTTTATAAAAAAAAAAACAAGCTCATACGGCTATTAATTATGATGTATGAATTAAAATTAGTGAAGACCCCACAAACTATGGGTCTATCTTTGAGTTTGAGATCTTTGGATTGGAGTTATAGATGTTGTAACTCGTTCTCTTTGCTAACAAACTCGTAGGAGATCTCAGATCGGGCGCGTGGGATTCATGCGTGACGATCTCACCCAAATCTTCACTGAAGCTCCTCCTCCGCCGCTTGTCTCCTAGCCACTCTGGTGGTCGGTTACGACCGCCGCTGTGTGAGGGCAACCACAACCTCCTTCTTTTTCTTCGTTCGCAAGTGCTTGAGCTCTCCAGATCTGCTCGATTTGTCTTTGTTCATGCGGTGAGAGGGTCGGAGATTACGTCGTGCGTGACGGCTGCGTCTCGGTGTTGGGTTTTCTTTCTCTATGGTTAATTGCTAGTCGATGGTGATGTCAAGCAACAACCTTTCATATGCCTCCTGTTTATCGTATGATGTTGATTTACTCTTGCAGATCATTCTCCCCCTTGCGATTCCGGTGACGGAGCAGTAGAGTGGCATCAGCTCGCCGTATGCTCGCTCCTCCGTCATTGTGGTTTCGTCCCCTTCCAAGCTCAGCCTCGGAAGGTCCATCGTGACTTGTTCTTCTTTGGGTGAGTTGGCTTTCTCTCCACTAGCTCCTTCGCTTGAGGTCGGTGTTGGTTCCGGTTGAGTGTCGCCACTGTCCTCACCTAGAAGTCTGAGTGTTTCCCTTGGCGATTGTAGTGTTAAGAGATGTCAAGTGGTTCAGATGGAAGTGCTTCGCCGTTTGTTTGGTTTGGTCTCTCTCCATCTCCAAGGTTGCACATGCCTCAATCTCTTCATCATTTATCTATTTGGATTGTTCTTAGGGCAATGCTACTTGGTTGGTGTTATTTTGGTCTCGGCCTGGCGTGTTGGCTCGATGAAATGGTTGTCACTCTGTTTGGTAATTCTGCTATGACAGTATCAAATTCTTTAGTAGTGCAATCATTGTGGCGTCTCAGGTGTGAGACCTCATCTTGCTTACCAGATTAATGCTATTCGGTTCTTATGGTGAAGTGACCTTTGAAATGGATAGCTTCCGGTGGTGGCTTCCAGCCAGTTTCCTTGGGTTTGCTTCATTGTATATCTGGTCTTGATAGGATGAATTCAAGCCTGATGTTGCTTGTGTCTTGCTTCTGAAGTTGCAGTGTAGATGTCTTTCTGTGGCAGTCGTAGAGTTCGGTTATGCTTGATTTTGTGGGCTAGAGAAGCTAGTAAGGCTATAGGTGTTAGATGTAGTTTATATTATTTAATCCAGTCATGTACTAGCCGACTTCGAGAGGAACTTGGTAGGGTGAGCTATAATCTTTCACGTATTAGTTTGTGAGGTTTCTTCCTTGTGTTAGCTCATGGTCCAGTCCATTGAATCGTTCTCACATGACGCGAGAGGAGTATGTGATCGGGAGTTTGGAAGACTTACCGTTGACAATTCAAAGATTGGGCCTCCTTTGAAAGACCTCTTGTGCTTTGAGTCGGTATTTATCGGCTTTGCGTCGCTGCTGATCATTCATCGTGGCAATTGAATTTGGGAAGAACAACAATATCGTCATCACTTCATCCGATTCTTTTAGCCTTCGTGCTTATGTTGAGTTGATAGACTGAAAATCGTCATGCTTTATGCTTCCACGTTTTTACTTTTTTGCCGTGGAACCATTTCGTAGGCTTATAAATTTCAGTTTGTAATTCTAAAACGTTTTCTTTTCTAATGAAATATGTACCTTTTAGCAACAACAAAAAACTCATTCTCTTCGACCATTTTCTATTACTTGTTTGATTGGTAATAGTTTTCTTTCTTTTTTTGCTAAAAGTTTGATTGGTAATAGTTTGGTACAGTTTACAACTATTTTATAATTTGTAACATTTTAGATAGTACCAAACACAAAAACAATATCAAAAGCGTTACACTTAGTTTTATTTGTACAGGTTTTTTACAGTTATTTCTTACAGTTTTGCACTATGCTGTAACCGCTTACCGCTCCAATTTACAACTAAAAAATTATATCATTTTAGGTTACCAATCAGACCATTATGGTTCTAAGATCTGAATTAAAACTTTCAAAAGAAAATGAATTCTAGAGTCGTTGTACGTAACAATCCACACGTAAATTCTTTATATCTTCGACGTGGTGTGAAAATATATTTATCAGTGTATATTATATTTTATTGGTTGAACAATTGTGTAAGAATTTTGTGTTATTATTTTTTAGTGTAACAAAAAAAACTATTTGTCTGATTTTTAGTTTTTAATAGCGGGATAAAAATGAAAAGTGTTAACATAAATTAAATGGTTTTATTGGTAATACAAGAAGTTTGGTTTTTTTGTGCCTCGGATTCAAACTTTTTTTTTATGAATAATTATTTTTGAAATCAAAATATCTAAAGATTGATTATCGATACCGCATAAATTATGAACCAAAAAATTAGAACTCTTCCTGTTTATTGAAAAAGAATAGTGCCACGACAAAAACATTAAAAGCAATTCGATTTCTCAAGGAATATGTAACTTTGAAGTCTTTATCGTAAGGGTTTCGAGTTAAAGGATACACAAAAGACAATTTCGCTCCCAACGGTAAAAAACTACCAAACGAAAAAGAGGCAAACAAATTCCTGTATGTATTATTCATGTGTACATACATATATATTTATTATTCAAGTGTACATATAGAATACACATAAAAATTATTCTAGTATATATTTATTATTTAAAAGAGAAATTAAGAAAAATTAAGAGTCAAAGAATGAAATCATGGAGGGGCCAAAGACTTGTCTTGAATAAAACATATAGATGCCTATGATTGCCTCTTTGTCTGGGTATTATCATATCTTCTGTCATAATTTCTTTTTCCGTACTTTTTTTTTTTTTGAGAAATCTCTAAAACTTATAGAATTTGAGCTTGTGTTTTATCTCTTTTTATAAATTTGTAAATCATCTCCAATTTTTAAAATTTTCGATGCTAAAATGATATAAAACAAGTAAAGATGTATGACATGAATCTATGATTCCGATTAGTTACTTAGTTTGAGAAAGTGGTATCGACCGGTTGAAACGGATAGTTAAAAACTTGAAATAAATTGTTGGAAAATAGGTTTATATGTTTAAAAGAAGATGTCAACCATTCAAAAATAAGTGAATTTGCAACCGTCTTGTTTATCAAACGAGTGTTTGGATTTTTCAATTTGAAATATATGTGTG